CATCCTGAGATGTTCCTGGACACTGTGTGCTGCTTAAACACATCCCCATTATCCTTTGCTTGCTATAAGAGCCAATGCCATTACTGAATAGATTTTAGTGTTACAGCCTCAGGGCAGTCATTCATCACCACAGGATGCATGGGTCAGCGGAAGAAACCACTATGTGCGTTGGGAGGAGAAGGTATTCAATATACTCTGTGTTTGATACCTGCAGGGGCAGAGGATTAGCAAAGCGGGGGAGTCTGGAGATGGGGGCTGCTGGATGGGTAAATATACAGCATTCTACTTTAGAGCACAAGTTTAGTTTTTACCCTGCAGTGACAAGGTGATGTTAAAGCTTATTTAAGATTTACCATTTCCTGGGCAACATCTTCTGGAGTTTCCTTTTCCAGGTCAAAGGTAAACTCAATGGCTCCATTATCTTTGGGTTTTCCTTTCAGCTTCTTGGGGTCTTCTACCCACAGTCTTAAGGCAATCGTGGCTTTTCTGCCATGGTCTTCCTCAGCCAGTTCCACCCTCACCCCCGTATCTTCAGCAAAGAAAGCATGGCTTAGCAAGTCTTTAATTTCATACCTGAAAACATTGAAACCATGGTTAAAGGAATTCAGTGTTAGGATCATTAACCAATTCTAAAACTAAAGACAGCTTCTTTGCAAGGAAAGAAAGAAGGGCATGGAAGGTAAATTGAAATCTCAACAAGTGCCTACTAGAAACCTTCACAAGTTTGTACACGCTGTATTTTCTGAACCCTATAAAAATTATACAGATCCAGATAGGGCAATTGCAATCATTCTTTAAACTCAACAGCTCAACTCAACACAGGTAAGCGGCGCCGAAGTGCAATACTATATTAATGCTCAAAATATGGAGAGTGCTCTTCCCTTGTGTATACACTTCCATTCTACCACTGAAGATACAACCTGATATTGGCAAATCTGTTAGTGGTAATCACCGAAACAGCGCATGACTGGACCTAGGCAACAATCTAAACACAAACTCTTTACATTTAGCAGTGAAAGGCGAGTAGCACACTGCCAAGATGCAGTCATGATTTTTTAGGCATGTGACTGGTTAAAACAGGTTTTGCCCCATTTTTATGGCCAATCTTTAGATATATGTCAGGACTTTCTGCATTTGGTAAATGTAAACAGCAAGCAAGTTCAGTAACCCAAAGCAACTTACTGGGTTTCATCTCTCTGAATTAAGACCAGTAAAAAAAAAAAAAAAAAAAAAAAAAAAAA